GAGTTCGTGTATCTGGCGATAAAATAACCGATCGTGGCGTAAAGGCAGCCGTCAAAGGCGATCATTAGGAATACCAGGCCCAAGGACATCGAATCGCCGGGACTGGATTCCTCCCACATCGCGTTCCAAGTTAATCCGACGCCTTGAACTTCCTTCCTGGCGGTGTACAAGCAGCCGTAACAAAAGCTGGTCGACATGCTGAGACACTAAGGAGGAATCGGTTTTGATAAATCGTTCCCTCTACCCGGAAAGTATGCAGGGCATTTACATAATTTTATAGGGGACGGCGTGGTTTCATCGCGCAGCCTAACGCGAACGCATCGCTCGAACGTGTTATTTATCACGGGGCTGCTGTTGCAACGTTAGGTGGCGATAACTTACGATGAGAAGCTTATAACCGAGGCCAATAACCGCCTCCATAGCAATGACAATGACGTATGGCATGAATGTCAGCAGGAACATGACCACGGTGATAATCGCTGCCAGGCTTGCCGAGCTGCACATCGTTGAAATCATGTAGCTGGAAATTCGTTTGATATTTTTAGTTTCAGTTTTAGGGCGAACCGCGCGGATGATGAATTAATCCTTGGCCACTTTACCAGAAAGTAACGATGGAGAAGGTGTAATCGATCATCAAGATTAAAACCAGAGAGGGATCGGATTTTGGTAAAATCCCGCCGGCGAAGAGAACCGTAGCGATGGAGAACATTACGATTAGAAGTTCTATAAACGTGGTAATGAACCAGGCCATCGTGTTCCTCCAAGGCTTCAATCCCATCACGCTCATTACCTTAAAAAAAAAATCAGAACCTCTTAGCTTTTAACTTTAATGATAATTAAGATTAACTAATCGACAAGGATCGAAAGTTACCATCGCGTTTTGAGATTCCCTTTCCCACACGATGTGTCTGACGGCTGCTCCGACGCACATCATCAGCGCGAAAAAGAAACAAACTTGAACACCCTGAGACTCGTAAAGGGTCGTTTGGAAGCTGCACGACATCATCAAAGTTATTTCGTGAGATTGATCGAAACGTGAATTTAAAAAAAAAAAAAAGAAAAATGACAACAGGTTATTCCACTCACGGTACGTCTTTCCAGCAAGGATATGGCATTTGTTGCGTCACAGTCTTCCAATTCTGATCCTTCCCAGTCTTCGTTCTTATGATCGCCCGATCGATAGAATCCTGAAGCTGTACAAATCCTCTCAGGTACCTCAAGTGCTCGATAAAACTGCTCTCCGGGCCGGGAGTCCAAAATTGATTTTTTAATCTCTTGGTGGACTGCACGTAGTCCACGTCCATTCGAATTTTGTAAACTATATCGTCGGGCAGTTCCTGTTTCGTAGATCGGCCAGACCTTCTCGGCGCTTTATCCAAAAAGACAACACCGGCTAAAAATTCCCGCGTTTCCACCAGAAGCCGTGCTTCCGCTTCCATTTCCTCCTCGGATCGAAATCCTCTTATTCGATCCACCAGCACGCACTCCAGTAAATCATTCAACATACCGACCATCGTTATCAAACGTTTCGACCTTTTCAGTCGCCACGAAATCTCGCTGAGATTCATATCGGCGAAATCTCCTGCGGGAATGAGAGAAGACATTTCAGACGAAGCGTCTTTGTTTCGTAAAAAAAAAAAAAAAAAAGAAAGAAACGAGCGTTCTATTTAAAAAAATCTGAATGATCCAAGGATAATATATGGTTGTGTTTTCCGAGTCAACTCACCGCCATTGAAGTCCCCTCCACCAAACGATCTGATGGCGATTTTTATAACGTCCGACGACATTATGTCTTGAAGCTCCTTCAAACTGTCGCTCATCTCGGACAGATTCATCAACGAGATCAAAGTTCTCTCGAAACTGTTCATCAACACGCCGAAGTGTTCCATTTCTACGAACGTTTTGTTTGCCACTGTCATTATGTCGTTGATCACCGTGGTGTTGGGGGCGTAAAGTATCTGACCACGTAGCAGAGGTTTCACGTAAGACCATATGATTTTCCCGCCTCCCATCGTTACCATATTCTTGTACGTGTCTCTGCAAAAATCGGCTAAACAGAGACAGAGGTGTCAAACTTTATTTGAACGTTTCACAAATTTGGTAT